AAAAGCATGTTTCCTGAGGACAATGTGTCAGATGCTTTGGGGTGGGGGAAGGGGCAGGGCATGTAGTTTAAAGCCGCATCCATCCCCTGGAGCGTCGAGTGATGCTCCCACTCTTAGGCAGGTATCTCCCTCTCTCCACTCCTTCAGTCATAGTATGCAACAAGGAGCTAATAGTTTATACCTTGAACATAATATCTGGTTCTGGGCACAAGACTGATGTGTCCCAAGCATACCTGGTGTACAACAGGTGCTCACTAAGTTGTTACTGAATGAGTGATGGAGGACATATGTGAATTGGGGTACTTTCAGAGACTGGTTGGTGCAAGGACTCAAAACCCAATCCTCGGAAGAAATGGAGATGTTTCACTAGGTGCAGGGAGAACACAATGGTTATTTTCAAAAGTTGAAGACCTGCCATGTGGCAGGTGGCTGAGGTGCAGTGCACAAGGTAAAATGGAGTCAGGGAGACAAAGCTCAGCTGTGCATGAGGAGGAACCAACTCCGTAGTGGTTGACGCAGCTGGAAGTGGACTGGGTGGCCTTAGGGGACAGGAAACTGCCCCTGCGGTGAATTCAACAGCTGTGCCCAATGACAGTTGTGATTTGCTACTAAAAATTAGGTAGTGAACTTTAAAAATGTGAATTTAAAAAGTTGAACAGATTCAAAACTATCTCTAAAATGCTGTTGTCGTTTGCTTACATTCCAATAGCCTTTCTGAGAGGAAGAAACAAGTGTAGGATAAGAGCTGGCCTGTTGGGAGAGTCTGTGGGAATGGGATGTGTGGGAAAGCTTCGTGGGGAACCCCTGGGCTGGAAGACCACTTGGTGAGCATTTTTCCTGGGTGGATGGGTGGGTGCCAGTGTCGTCAAAAAGTGACCATCCTATTTTTTTGTTATCTAAGTATATACTTGTTTTAGTTTCTCCTTATTTAGATCCTGAGAACATTGCTACTGTCACAAAAGCCACACATTTTCATAAGTTTTAAGGGTTGGTAAGGGACAGATTTCATGGATAACACCAGGTATCACAGTGCCTGTGTCCTCTCAGTATACATGTCTGTATGTCAATACATAATTTAAACTAAAAAATTAACCATTATTTTTGATAAAATGTAAAAAAAAGCTCATTAAAGATTTGTTATTTTGGAGTGTGCTGACTTCCAGTCAAGATGGAGGTGTAGGTGGACACACTTCACCCCCTCACGTGACCATAGAAAGAATTACAACCAGGTCTCAAAACTAGTAACACCCAGAACCGCCAGAAAATCGAGCTGTATGGAAGTCCGACAACCAAAGGTTTGAAGAAGCCACATTAATCCAGATGAGTAGGAGGGATGGAGATGCGAAGCTGGGCAGAGAGGAGAGGAAAGGCAGCAGTGGAGGTGGCATGGCGGGAGGGATGCCTTGGGAGTGAGTGATCTCAGCCGCAGGCCAGACTGCACAGCCAGGGTTCCTGCACCTGGAAGATAGATCCTCATTACCTCTGGCTTTAAAAACCAGGGGGGTTGGGGTGGCAGAAGAAACTGCCAGATTTTCATTGCTTAAAGGGCCAATATGGTCTTAGAATGTACACAAAGCCACCCACTCCAGTATTCACCACTGGGGCAGCAGCTGGAAGGGCACCAGTCACACACAGGAAGGGGGTGAAGTGACTGGAAATGGGGCGAGCGCCAGGTGAACTGGCAGAAGCCGGGCAGCAGCATGGTCCCCTCTCCAGGCCTCCCCACAGAGGCACAAAGCGATGAAGTGGGTGCCCCCTCCCTGGTGATCACCTAAGGCTCTGTCCCACACAATTTACAGGTGCCTTTTCTACTTAGTAGAGCCATGCTACTAAGACAGGGAGTCAACACAGCTCTGACAAATACACAGAAACAAACACAGGGAGGATGCCAAATTGAGGAGACAAAGAGAAATGGCCCAGATGAAAGAACAGAATAAAACCCCAGAAAAAGAACTAAGTGAAACAGAGATAGCCAACATATTAGGAGCAGAGTTCAAAACACTGGTTATCAGGATACTCAGAGAACTCCTTGAGTACAGCAAGAAAATGAAGAAAGGAAGGTCACACTAAGTGAAATAAAGAATAATCCATAGGAAACCAACAGATGAGGGAAGGAAGCTGGGATTCAAACCAGTGATTTGGAACATAAGGAAGGGATAAACATTCAACCAGGGCAAAAAGAAGAAACAAGAATTCAAGAAACCCAGGATAGTATAAGAAGACTCTGGGACATCTCTACATGTGTCAACATCCAAATCATAGGGGTGCCAGAGAGCGAAGAGGAAGAGCAAGAAACTGAAAACTTGTTAGAAAAAACAATGAAAGAGGACTTCCCTAATCTGGAAAAGGAAATAGACATTCAAGTCCAGGGAGCACACAGAGTCCCAAACAAGTTGGACCTGAAGAGGACCACACCAAGACAAACCATAATTAAGATGCCAAAAATTAAAGATAAAGCAGCAAGAGAAAAGCAGAGAGTTACTTACAAAGGAGCTCCCATAGGACTATCAGCTGATTTCTCAAAAGATACTTTGTAGGCAAGAAGGGCATTACCCACTCTTAGTTCATGTCCATGGGTCACACATATAAGTTCTTTGGCATCCCCATTTCCTATACTATTCTTAACCTCCCCCTATTTTGTTCCTACCAATTATACTTCTTACTCCCTCTACCTTTTCCCCATTCTCTCCCCCTTCCTCTCCCCACTAATAACCCACCATATGATCTCCATATCCATGATTCTTTTCCTATTCTGGTTGTTTGCTGAGTTTTGTTTTGTTTTTAGATTCATTTGATAGTTGTGAACTTGATGAAATGTTTAAAGTGTTTTTTCAGTCTTCCTTGGTTTGGCTGAGAGTTGGCTTGGCAGACTGTGCAGCTATAAAATATTCACATTTGCTGAATAAACGAATGCCTGAATTGTTGCTAATGTTCTCCTGTATTTGGGTAGTTACAGTCCTCCCACCAGAGGGGAAATAGAAGAATTAGCTATGTTGTCCCCAATGTCAGATTGATACAACTTCTCTCTCTTTCCTATTCGCTTCCCATCTCCTAAAACAGGTCACAGAAGAAATGATCCTGTCTGGGTAAATGGAGGCAAGACTGGCCAATTTGATAAAGAGCAAAACCTTCAATACATTTTTACATTAGGTAACAAACTTTTCTAGAAGAAAGATAACCACAGCAGGCCAGTTCTGTTGCTAAAGGTGTCTTGGTTGACTTCACATTCAACAGAGGTCAGAAAAGCCCATTACCTGCATATTAGTAGCCTATCCTTGGAAAGTATCTCAGTCCTCAAGAAGGAGACCTCTAGAGAGGTTATCAATATACAGTGCAAAGACTGAAAAAACTGAAGACTGAAAAAACACTTTAAACATTTTACTGTAAATTCTGTTCTCTAATCATAATGTGTTTTATCAATTTTTCCAAAATAACAAATTTTTAAGTACATTTTATTGATTATGCTATTACAGTTGTCCTAATTTTCCCCCTTTGCCCCATCTGCCTGGTGCCCCCATTCCCTCTAGCATTACCCACTCTTAGTTCATGCCCATGGGTCACACATGTAAGTGCAAAGAGTGGGTGTCTATGACCAAAATTTGGAGAAAGTGCTTATGCCGAAACATTTTTGCCTTGAAGAAATGAGTGTGGGTAGTTAGTTTCCACTTGTCTAGAACGTTAGTTTCTGAAGCTTTCTCCTACAGCCTCATTTTTTTTTTTGGGTCAGATATAATCCTAAGATCTCTAAATAAAAGTTTTTAAAAATAAATTGTGCATCCTATAAACATGAATATGAACATAACTCTTATCACATGGAAATTAGGCTGTGCATGGCATGGGAAGGCGTTTAGAGAATCAAATGCAAATTCTTTAAGAAATGGCAACCAGCTCAGCGCCCCCTCTACTCACCGTGGGGCTGCCATATGGAACCACTGGTCTGTCCCTGCGCTCGGCAGCCGCCGCTGCCGCCCCTGCCACACGCCCGTCTCCTCCTCCCCTTTGCGTCTGTCTCCCTGGGTTCTCTTGGGCATGCACGTCGTCCTCTCCCTGCCGCCACTCAATCTCCTTCAAACACGCGTCTTCCTGAGCTCATTCAACAAACGAAGGCTTTGTCTAAGGTCCTGCCCTTAAAAACCCTTTTCCCACATTCGAACACACAGTTATGGAACTCCCTCCCTGTGCCAGGAACTCTGTCGGGTGCTAGGACTGGGGACATGAGTCCTGCTTTCAGGAGCCTGCAGTCTGTGAGGAGGAGGTGACGTTAAAAGGAACACTCAGCAAGAGTTAATGACAGGCGTTGGTGCTCGCCACGAGGGCTGCGGCTGGAGGCCGCGCAGCGAGTCGCCGTCCGCAGGGCGCGCACACGTCAGAGCGCGGGCAGCGGCCGCGTGCGGAGGCGACGGCCGGCGACGGGGTGAGGCCGCGCTCCGGGCGGGAGCACGAGGCCGCGGCAAGGGCTTGCCCTCCCGGCTTCGGGCCTCCGCTCCGCGCCGGGGACTCCGTGACCGTCCCCGTGTGAGAACGCCAGGCCCTGGCTTGCGGCTGCTGGCCGAATCCCTGCGCGCAGATGGCCTCACATCGCCTCAAACCCAACCCGCCATCTTTATCTGAGCGGCCGCCACAGTCTGCTGACGAGTTGTCTGGGTGCAAGCCTGTCTGCTCTGTCCCCAGAAGGGAGGGCGCGCCGCGTCAGACCAGCAGCACAGGACAGCCGCGTGCGGTGGCACAGCGGCGGGACCCCGGTGGGACCCTGCCGCCCACGCCCCGCGGGCCCAGGGCGCTCTCCGTCCTGTCCTGTCGGCGCTGCTCTGAGTAACAGCGAAGGCAGGACAAGGCGTCCAGGCCGCCCAAAGTCTTCCATGTCGGCATTTGATAAACACTGGAAATCATGTCGGGGGAAAAGACAAGTCACTACGATTACGTATTAAAATACCTGACAGCATCACTTTAGAACGCATCATTTATTTTATTTATGAGTTCATAATCAAACGGATCCTGGGGAACCTTAAAGTGAGTTAGGAGTAACAAGGAGGTGTAAAATTCTCAAATCTTGGAAACTGAAATACTAAAATTCTAGCATTTTCTTAAAATCTCTTCCTCATGATTAGCATAGTTTAAAAATTACTATGCTCCTCCAAGGGAAAGGGGGGACTGAAAAATCGACACAGTGATGAAGGCGAAAGAGGCCTTCCCGGCGGCTTTATTCTCCACTGACGCTCAGGGCAGGGCCGCGGCGCCCGCACTCGCTGGGAGCTGTCGCGGCTCTGGTTCCCGACGATCCTCGGAAGCAGACGGAACGCGCCCACGCAGAGCGACACCGGCGGCACCGCTCTCCGCAGAAGCTGCCGCGGCAGCGCCCTGCTCCGGGAGGGAACCGCGGGCGCTTTTAGATGTTGTCCAGAGTCATCATGGAGGCTGCTTTTCTTCTCTGCGCGGTGACCGCACTGAGCTGCAATGAAAATAAACAGTCAGTAAGTAGTTACTTTTCCCGTGGAAAATCTTAGGCGAATACACAGCGTAATGCATCACAACTTACAATTATTGAAAATAATCAGATTGGAAGGGGTCTTCTAAGAGGTCACTGTTTGTGTTCATTTCTATTTTCCTCTTGAGACTTGAACATGTCTGTGTCACACTAGAGATGTGCATGCCAAGTATGACACGCCACAGCTCAGTGACAGACCCCGAATTCCAAGGCACAGTTCACAGAAGGACGAAGAACATCTAGGTAAAAGTTCATCAGAAAAGTAGCTAAAATATAAAGTGTAAGCCAGCACAACGCTGGGCTGGGAATAAAAAGATGATAGTTCATAGCAAGAAAAGCCTGATAGGAAAATACTTAAATATTAATCAGAAGTGATTACAATTAATGTGGAATACACACAGAGCAAAAAAAAAAACCAAAACAAAACAAAAAAACCTAACAGTACAGAAAACAGAACTAACAGCACCCAGGATGAAGTCTTCCCCTCACCGCCCTGTGTCCACAGAACTCTCTTCCCTGACACGACCACCGTTTCCAGTTTCTAAACATTTCTTGCAAGAGTCTAAATGAGGATATATGCATATATTTCCTCACCGCTTTTTATTTAAAAATGATAAAGGACTATACAAACTTTCTATCTTATTTTTCCTGCTCAAAGATCTATGTTAGAAAAAGTTCCACATTAGATCTACTTTATTCCTCTTACCAGCTGTAAGCCTCCCCCGCCTCTGCCCCCACCCCCCATGTGGATAGTCTACAATTTCACTGCTTTCCTGTTGATGGGCATTTAGATAGTCTTTAATCTTTTAAAACTAAAGGCAATGCTACAATGAGCATTTTACATGGTTCCTCATACAGACTTGTCCAGGGGCAAGCATGCCACCTGGAGAATGAGTTCTAAGAACTGCCGGTTACAGATTCTGTACATTCCCGGTTTTTGACAGATGGTGTCCAGCTGGGCTCCGAAGGGGCAGCGCCTGCGGACATTCACACCAGAGGTGCAGGGAAGAGCAGGAACCACATCCTATCCCACCTCAGGACCTGACAGGTGAGAAATGATGCATGAATCCAGTTTAGGTTTGTTATTTGTCTTATGGCTGAGGATGAGCATCTTTAAAAAATACTTGAAAGCCATTTGTTACCCTGGCTGGTGTGGGTCAGTGGATTGAGTGCCAGCCTGTGAACCGAAGGGTCGTCTGTCCAGTCAGGGCACATGCCTGGGCTGCAGGCCAGGTCCCCAGTTTTGGGTGCACAAGGGGCATTGATATTTCTGTCCTGCTCTTTTTCTCTCTCCCTTCCCATCTCTAAAAATACATAAATAAAGTAGTTTTAAAAAGCCATCTGTCCTTCCTTTCTGTCAATATCCTTTTTTCATTTGTCTAGTGTACTGTTGCACTATTTCTGTTGACTTAGTCACTCTTTACATGTGTTTGCGACATTAGCCTTTTTGTCATATGTGTCACAAATACTTTTCTTAGTTTGTCATTGACTTTGTGACATTTTAATGCAGAAATTTGAAATTTTACATAGTGACATTTATTGATTTCTTTCCCTAATTTCTAGGTTGGGTGTTCTTGCAGAGAAAGCCTATACAACACTGGTATTGAAGACATGGCACACATTCATGGAGACTGGTGACTTAGACAATGTCATCATATCACAAGGACAGGTGACATAAATTGGAGGAACACATTCAGGGTGACTGAGGCAGGACCATGCGAAGCCTGTGCTGAACCCCTGAGTTGACACTGGGCTGCACTGGTAAGTATGATTTGCTATAGGCAACAATAATCTCCAAATTCCATTATTTCATGAAATATCAGGCCCTTAGCAGGATATTATTTCTATTAGTGGTTTTTTAGAGGAAAATGAAAAATCTAGAAAGAATTCAGAGGAGGCAAAGATAAAGGTTTTAAAAAAACCAAATACATGTCTCATAAGGAAAGTTATAACTCTTTTAAAGTGGAAAAATATTAGCTCCAGGGAATAAATTCCTTTTTGTGCATGGGGAGGATGTGGAATGATTCCTTTCCATCTTGAAGTGAGAACAAAATGGAAGGAGAAAAGCTGAAGGAAAAAATTTGTGAAGTGGTTACTGCAAAAACATTACAAAAGAAGCTCATACAGAGAATGGTGGGATCTTTGCCATCAGAGTTTAACAGGAGACTGTTTAGGCTTACTTGTGTCGGGTAGAGGGGTGGTGCTGCTGAACTAGATGCCAATTGGATTATATAATTAAGTTTCTGTAACTGTACCATTTTTACTATGGAACTCAAGGTAGTCGATTTCAAGTAGGCATTTTCTTTATCAATTCCTTAAAAAAGCTTTAAGGATTGTGATATAAGAAATTTAATTTCTTATACATCTGTGTACCATTGATTAAGTGCTTGATGAGTGTGAATCCCCTTGGTCCCTCATTAACCCTCTCAGGGAGGTGCTGCTACCCTATGTGGCATCCGCGGACACTGAGGCTTGGAGAAGAGAAGCTGCCCCAAGTCACTGGGCTCCGTGATGGCTGCAGGCTGTTTGCCTGACAGCAAACGCACACTCAGAACACTGCCTGGGACACCCTGGCTTCTTCTGCCTTATACTCCACATGAATGTAGGAATTCTCAGGCAGTTCAGTAGTCCATTAATTCATTATTTCATAAGAAATTAAACATATTTGATAGAGCTACAATTACTTTCAAGGGGGGGGGAACAGAAGGGCAAATTATTACTATATTCTATTCAAGTGTTGCATCATGTTCATACCAGAAGTAGGTTTCAAAATAAAATCTGTATTACAAACACAAACTGAATTCAGTGTTTAGAGCCGTTTTACTATGCATAAGACACTATATATCTAAGAATATTATGCTAACTAAACTAGTATATTTATAACCAAATATAATTAATGCACTAATTTGGTTTGTTTTTGTCTGCCTGCCTGCCCATCTATCTATCTAAACTGCTTCCAGCCTATCTTTACATTCACTAAACTGGTCTCACTTTGTTCACAGGAGAAGGGACTACCACTCCTACTTGAGAACAAACGGCTCCTTTCATCATGATGAAATCCTTTCAGCATTATGAGTAAGTACTCCTTAGCACTTTACTGATGTTTTTCTGCATTTTCTAACCCTATTTCCCATTGGACAACTTTATATCATATTTTAGATTTATATAATCATATACAAATGTACATTAGTTAACCAATATACAAAGTAATTTTTTTCCATTTAAAAACTACAATGAAAACAAAGTTAGTGCAATCTGAAATAGTAACATTTAAAGCAAAGTTATCTACTTCCAAATCTGTGAGCAAATCCCTGCTGAGCTTCACACGTGACATCATTCTAGGGCAGGGCTGCCCAGGGGACTTCCTGTGGTGATGGAGTTGTCCCACGTCCATGCTGTCTCCTGTGACAGCTGTAGCTGCATATGGTTATTGAGCACTTGGAATCTGCTGGTGTGACTGAAGATTTCAATTTTTAACTTTATTTAATTTTAATTACTTTAAACAGCTGCTGGTGGGCTAGTGGCCATGAGTAGACAGTGCAGGAAGGTGACGTTTGCTTGGTTTTAAAATTTACCTTTTCAATCTCAAATGTTAAAAAGGCTCATTTTAAATGGTTTAATCAAGTAAAAATAAAAGTATTAGTTCTCTGGGGACTTCTGAGGAACTTCTTTTAGCTGGGACCCACACAGACTGTGTGTCATCCATGGATAACAAGGCCGCGTCCTACCTGCTGTGAAGCTGAAGCAGCTCTCTGCTCTGCCTGACTGAGGCGCCGCTGCAGTCTGTTGGCTTTTTCTTGATGCTCTAGAATTAACTTCTCACTCTATTGAGGGGCAATATAAAACAAGCGAGTTAGAAATCCACATGCGACACAGCATGGAGATGTTCTGTGGAATAATCAATAATGTGGATGTCATGTTATCCCTTGTAAAATGCGAAGATACTGTATCTTTAAGTTTACATTTTTTCAAGTTATGTACTTCAATTACCATTACATGCCAACAAAAAAAAGTGAGTTAAATGCAAAGTGAAGTGATTTGGAAGTTAAGAACAAGATTCTCAATTTCCAATCTGTTGACCTTGAAATGCTAGTGCACTGCTTGGGGAGTGTGAAAACAGACTGTGGAGGGCCCCTAACAGAGGTCCTTCCTGCCTGAGAGCCTGTGGCCTGTCCAGTGCCCAGGGGGCACTGATGCTGCCCGCTGGGCCTCGAGAGCCTCTGGGCTAGACCGTGCTTCCAGGGAAACTCGGACATCAATGTTATTAAAGTTGAAGAAAGAGAAAATATTTGTTCTAGAAATCCTGGTTTTTACAGTTAGACGTGTCTTAAATGATTTATATGCTAAAGGTATTCTTTAAAAGATGAAGAACTCTGTTTCTACACATTACCCCAAACAGTGTATGAAGTCTGTCCAGAAAGTCCAGCCATTGTTAATATAATGAGAACGGTTTGCATGACATCGATATAATCTGGCAGCCAATGAAAGTGGACTGGAATGTGCATGTGTGAACAATGATGACTTCACTGTACTAGTCACTGGGGCCAGTAGGCACTGTTGAGTGAGCATGTGTTCTGTGTAGCTGTCACATTCAAAACGACTGAGTGAGTAGAGCAATGAATCTACATCAAATTTTGCATTAAGCTTGAACATTCCTCTGTGGAAACTATTCGGATGATTCTGAAGGCTTTCGGGGATGATGCAATGAGTGCAGCACAAATAAAAGTGTGGCACAAACATTCAAAGATGGTTGAGAATCTGTTGAAAGTGGTCCACATTCTGGAGGGCCTGCAACAAGCAGAGGACCTGAGAATGTTGAACTTGTATAGGCTGTAATCAACAAAGATCAGTGACTGACAGTGTGAGAACTAGAAGTTGATCTGGGGATTCCAAAAACTACTATGTTTGAGATTTTGACGCCGGGCCTTGGCATGAAGTGTGTCATGGAAAAATCTGTTTCACAGCTTCTGTTACCAAAGCAGAAGAAACATTGTGCTGCAGTTGCTAATGACTTGATTCAGCTGCTACCAATGAACCAGATTTCCTCAAGGAGGTCATGACTGGACATGAATCGTAGGTCTACGGCTGTGATCTGGAAATGAAGGCCCAGTCGTCCCAATGGAAGTCGCCTGGATCTCCACACCCGAAGAAGGTGTGCAAAGTCACAGATCAATCAGGAATGTTGCCCATCACAAGAATACCTCTCCAGACCAAACAATTAATAAGGAGTACTACCTCAATGTTCTTCATCAGTTGAGAGATGCAACATGACAAAAATGGCCACAGCCATGGACAGCTGGTGATTGGCAGCTTCATCATGACAACATGCCCACTCATGCATCACGTCTTATGCAGAGTCTTTTGGCAAAACATCAAATCACCCAGTTGATTCAGCCCCCCTACACCCTGCGACTGCTGGCTTTTCTCAAAACTAAAATCACCTTTGAAAAGGAAGAGATTTTAGAGAGTTGATGAGATTCAGGTAGATTTGACGGGGCAGCTGATGGTGACTGGGAGAACTGTGGGAGTTACCAAAGTGCTTACTTTGAAGGAAACTGAGGTGTCACTGTCCTATGTACAGTGTTTCTTGTATTATGTGTCTTCTTCAATAAATGTCTCTATTTTTCATATTACATGGCTGAATACTTTGTGGACAGACCTGGTATACTCCAGAGAGCATTAGGGTCAACAGAGTTATTAAGATATTGTTATGAGTGGAATTATGCCCCTAAAAAAAACAGACTTTGCAGTCCTAACCCCTAGTACCTACGAATGTGACCTAATGTAGAAATAGGGCTTTTGCTAATGGCTGAGTCAGGATGATGTTACTAGACTTGGCCCTCATCAGATATGACTGGTGTCTCCATAAAAAGGGGGGAATTCGGACACAGACAGACATGTATAAATGGAAGATGACATGAAGACATGGGGAGAACACCCTCTACAAGTGGAGGAATGTTCAGGGCTACCAGAAGCCAGGGGGCAGGCATGAGACAGGGAACGGAGTCTCCTTTGAGCCCTCAAAAGAAACTGCCCTGCCGATTTCTCCATTCAGGACCTCTGGTACCCAGAACTGTGAGACAACACATCTCTGCTGTTGAGGCCAGCAGGTCTGTAACACTGTGGCAGCAGCCTCAGAAAACCAGACAGGCATCACGGATATAAATCTGTCACAAAATGCTGTGACACACACAAGTTCAAAGATGCTGACAATTAAAAAATGCATCAGCCCTTCCCATACTCACTCACCTGAACAGAACATTTTTGTACAACTGGAATTGCTCAACTTTCTAGTTCTGGTAGGAATTGAGAGAGTAACCAATCTAATCAGGAGTAGCAAGAAAGATGTACCTTCTCTGCATCTTTCATGCATTTCTCATGTCCTAACGTGATTATAGGGAATGTCATGTCTGTGACATAAAATATCAAAATATCAGTATCCTGTTAAAATGAGATTATATTTCTTATTGTACCCCAAAACAAAATTAAATTTTATGACAAGAACTATATTGGCCATTCGAATTTACCAAGTTGTTTAAATATGTAGCCTTAAATTTAAGAGGCACATCATTAACACTAGTAATAAACTTGGGGGGAAAATGCCATTATTTGTAATAATCATTTTCATAGTCACAATTAGACCACACATAACATACATCCTTTCTATGCTGCTACAATAATGGTTAAGGCATGGTCCAGATTACATAAATCATAATAAATAAACGACTGGTTTTTTTCAATTGATCATTGTGGTTGCTTCTGACCTTCCAATATTATTAACATTACTGTGCTGAATAGCTCCCTTTAAATTTTCTCATATGTTAAATGACTTCCTTAGAAAAGATTTTTGGAAGTGGAAGCTACACCAAAGAGTACTACAATGGCTAGTGTTTAATTGTTTTCTAAATGGTTCATATCAATTTATGATGCTACAAAACTGAAGAGTAATTTCATTGTGGCACCTACAGAAGGCCTAATACATCAGAGAGCCTATTAAAGAAATTCCAACAAATACATTCGAAGTTAGAACATCAGAAGAACTGGAGTTCTACAATGCTCTAATCATAATCCAGAAATTGTTTACTTTTTTTTAAAACTTCAAAGAAAAAAAGAACTCTTGCTATATTTAGCTCTAAAGTAATCTAAAGGAGTATTTTAATATATTCCACTAGACCGAAGTATTTCCTACATGTCTCTTGTGATGGATGAAAACTAAATGAAAGGAAGAGGTTAAAAACTAACCTCAGACACACACCAGCATCAGGAGGCCCTGACACATCTTTGAAACGCAGCCCCAGCCCCACTGCACCAGCCCCACCTTTGGTCATTTACACACGATGAGTCACTGACGTCCAAAGCTTTTATTCGCATTATATTGTGCATGGACTTCGAGGGTTATGGATGATTTCTACAAGAAATACTCGCATCTGTGTGGTCACTTCCAAGTAGAGAATTAATTTGGACTTGGTTCAAGTACAAGGCTCTAACGTGTATATCGCGCTGCAGCAGAAGTGCTTCCCGGGAGAGTCATTATCTTACCTCGGCCACCTTTTCATTTGCCATTTCCAGCTGAGAAAGCAGCTCTTGGGTATGAAGTTTCTGTCGACTCAGCTCACTCCTATTAACCGAGCAAGTGAGGGAGAGAGGGAGGGAGGGATTGTTTAAAGTAAAACAAAACAGAATCTTTATTAGTGAGATACATATTCATGTTTTAAGCAAAAATATTATTTTTGTGCAAAATAAAGTTTCTTATTAAGACACCATATCTAAAGGGCTCATTCATTTTTTACACATATATTCTGGAGATTGGTTGTACAACAATGTGAATACACTTAACACTATTAAACTGTATACTTAAAAATGGTTAAGCTGATAAATTTAATCACAATTTTAAGGTGGTTAAAACAGTATATTTTATGTTATATTTTTGCCACAGGGACTCCCCCCTCCCATGGCCAAAAATTAAAAGTGCCAAAGTGTCTTCAATACTATTATCTTGAGTATTATTTGGCATTAAAAAAAGTATACTCTTATTAAACAGATACAGTATTTGTTAGTATGAAATCCCATAAGCCACTCTGACTGTTAGCTACAGTGTGCCTTTTTAGATTCACATACTGTGTTACTTGGAGGGGCTTGATCCTGGGAATGGAGAGGGAATGTGAATCAGTCCACTGACTTTTAATGCAATAGATTCAGGACTGCTATGTGTTTTGGTTGTATATGTGCTGTATTTTATACATTCATATCCTTTGTGCTTTATTAGGTGGAATTTTCTTTTTTAATAATTTTTATTTTTAAATTATGTTTATTCTATTACAGTTGTCTCAGTTTTTCCCCCTTTGCCCTCCTCCACCCATCCCACTCTGCCCCCACCACAGCCAATTCCCACTCTGTTGTCCATGTCCATGGGTCATTCATACATGTTCTTTGTTTAGTTCCTTCTCCTTTCCACCATTGTCCTCCTTCCCCATCCCCTCTGGTCACTTTCAGTCTGCTCCATGTTTCCTTGCCTGTGGTTTATTTTGTTCATTAGTTTATTTTGTTCAATAGATTCCACTTATAGGTGAGATCATATGGCATTTGTCTTTCACCGACTGGCTTATTTCACTTAGCATAATATTCTCCAGTTCCATCCATGCTGTTGCAATAGGTAGGAGTTCCTTCCTTCTTTTTTTTTTAATGCAGATTTTATTTATTTATTTATTTAAATGCCAAGACCCATTATGAAATATTAAAAAAATTTAAATCCATTATAGAATCTCAGCAATCATGACACCTGCACAGAAATAATCAAGTAGATCAATGAAATAAAATGAGCATTCTAGAAACAAACACATATATCTTTTTAACAATGTAATAAATGATCAAATTGATATTTCAAATCAATGGGGAAAATAAGGCTTATTCAACATATAAAGTTCATGGACCATTATTACTTGAAATAAAACAAACATAGAGCCTTATTTCACACATTATACAACAAATATTCAGGTGAGTTAAAAATCAATATGTAAAATCTAAGGAGTTTTAGGAGAAAATACAAAATAATATTTTTCTTATGCTGAAGTAACATATTCAAACCCAGAAGCTATAAAGTAAAATATTGACAATATGACTATATTAAACATTTAAGACTATACAGTAATATTCATGTAAAAAAAGTTAAAGGACAAACAATAGAATAGGAAAGTATTTGTAACACATCTATAAAAGGGTTAATAGGTATTTTTTTAGGGAAAAAATTCTACAAACATTTAATGCTACAAAATGTAGCATTACATTTTGATAAAATGACTTTTATCATTTGATAAAATGACTTTTATCAAAAAGTCATTTAAAGCTTTTATAAAAAAATAGTCAAGAAATATGCAAAAACAGGTTTAGTTTCAACAAATAATAAAGAAATAAAATAACACATCATTGTCACAATCAGATTAATAAGTATTAAAAATATTGGTAGTATCAAGTATTGGTGACTGTGAAAGGAACTGGGTAATCATAGATTCTTTTTCTTCATCTTCTTAAAGCAGCCCCTTTAGCATATCTTGCATTGCTGGTTTGGTGGAGGTGTATTCTTTTAGCCTTCTTTTGTCTGAGAAGCTCCTTATTTTACCTTCCATTTTAATTGAGAGCCTTGCTGGATAGAGCAGTCTTGGTTGCAGGCCTTTGCTTTTCATTACTGGGAATATTTCTTGCCATTCCCTTCTGGCTTACAGTGTTTCTGTTGAGAAGTCAGCTGCTAGCCATATCGGGATCCCTTATAAGTTACTACCTCTTTCTCCCTTGCTTCCTTTAGGATTCTGTTTGTCTTTGATATTTACCATTTTAATGATGATGCGTCTTGGAGTGGGACTCACTGGGTTCCACTTGAATGGGGCTTCCTGGACTTGTGTGACTTTTTCTCTCCTCCAATTAGGTACATTTTTCATCATTACTTTTTCAAACAGGTTCTCTATCCCTTGTTCCTCTTCTTCTCCTTCTGCTATCCCTATTCTATGGATATTATTATGTTTCAAGTTGCCCTGCATCTCCCTAAATGCCTCTTTATTCTTTTTGAGTCTTTTTTCATTTTCTTGTTCTTTCTGGGAGCCTTTTTCTACCTTATCCTCCAGAGCTCACTGGTTTGATCCTCTGCTTCATCAAGCCTGCTTTTGATTCCTTCTTCTGTGTTCTTCAATTCAGAATTGTATTCTTCATTTCCTTTTGTGTCTTATTGATAGCTTTTATGTCCTTTTTCATGCTGATATAGTTTGCAGCAAGTTCCTCGTAGTTTCCTTGTATTTTTTGGTAATTCTCTCTGAACTCACTGAGCTCACTGAAGTTCCTTAGAATTGTTGTTTTGAACTCAGTATCTGATAGTTTACTTGCCTCTATTTCATTTATTTCTCTTCCTGGGGATTCCTCCTTTCCCTTCAACTGGGGGGTGTTTCTTTGTCTTCCCATTATTTATGGGGCTCTTTTCTCTTGATTCTGCTTCTTGAATTGGTCTGTCTTAATTTCCTGACTCTGTGGTGTGAACTTCTATGGCAGGAGACCACTGTGTTTTTTCTTTCTGGATCTGCCTCTGATGATATCAGCTGTTGATCCTGTCTGACCTTAGGCAGTCTGTTTGAGACTTTCAGGAATCTACTGTCTGTGGCTCTCTCCTTCAGCTGTTAATCGAGTTACTCTGCACTCAGCAGGCCAACTTAGAGACACCACAGGGCAGGGCAGAGTCCATCCTAGGGGAGGGGTTATTGGGTCCTCTCAGGCTGCTGCCACTTAGGGGAGTGGTCTGCCTGAGCCAGATGGCTGCTGCTGTACGGGGGAGGAGTCAGCACCAGGATCCTGCTGGCCACTCTCTCAGTTCTTTCCCCAAAGCTTCCATCTCCAGTCTCTCCTCAAGTGTCTCTAGATACTCTGTGCCCCCTTTAGCCAGGGATCTAACATCTGTGGCTGCCACTCTGTACTCAGCAGGCGGCTTAGACACCACAGGGCGGGGCTATTGGGCCCTCCCACGCTGTTGCCGCTCAGGGGAGTGGTCTGCCTGAGCAATATGGCTGCTGCTGTCTGGGGGATGAGCCAGCACTGGGATCCTGCCAGCTACTCTCAGTTCTTTCCCCAAAGCCTCCTTCCCCAGACTCTCCCCAGGTGTCTCCAGCCCACTGTCCCCGCCTTTGCCGGAGCCCAGGGTAAGTGGCCGCAAACAAAAATTTATGCATTGGCCCTTTAAACGGCTCTTTGTAACTCTAGCTGCTTGTCTCTAGTAGAGAGCAACTCTGCCGCTTTTCGTAGCTGGCTGTTTATCTGTGTACTTTTTGGGCTCTGGTGCTGTAGGCTGGAGATCCCCGCTTGTGATTTAGACCCTGCTCTTCTCAGGGGGAGCCAATTCGTCATTTCAATAGCCTTCTGGTGCTGCCACCTGTGGGAGCCCCAGCTGTCTTCTCAAGTTTCTGCCTTACCAGTTGAGTTGTGCTAAAGCTGATTCTTCTGTCTGTCCTTTCTCGCTATTGTTCAGTTGTTCATTCCAGGTGATTTCTCCACAATTTAGTTATAATTCCAGGTTGGTCCTGGGAGGTCAGTGTGACTTCCACTCAGTCGTCTGCCATCTTGATTCTCCCCTAGGTGGAATTTTCTTATGCACAGAACTTTTTCTTTTTCTATTCAATATATATACATTATATTGTTCTTGGCCAAAGATTAAATTCAAGAGTCCTAGGTTAGAAGTAGATACAAAGTAGTCTTAAAAATAACTTAAAAAAAGATTGACTCTATTTCTGAATATTAAAATAGTAATTCAGGATTGATTTTTATCCTTTGACCTTCCGGCTATTTCTTAAGAAAAAAATCAACATATGAACACTTTCAAAATAACTTCAGCTTTGATTTTTTTTCCCCAAAGGAGTTACACAAACAGCTTAAAACTTGATCTCTCAAGTGTCCTGTGTTTGAGTGAATAGTGGTTGTTAAAATCAGGAAGCAATCTGGTATAAACACATAGGCGAGAACAAATAGTAATGTCTGCAAATCAATTCCTCAAATATTTACTGAACTGTCTCTGGGCCAAGTGCAAGGTATATGGTGGTAAACACAGAGCTGCTGCCATAGCAGAACTAAGAGACTCAGAGGGTTGCGTGTATTCTAACTCAGTGACTTCATCAATACAGGCTGCTGACTCTGAGGAATTTCAATATTTATTACTGGTTTTGTAACAGACAAACCTCAGCTTTATTTCAGTGGTAATAATAAAGTTGAATATGTTATTTTGTTTAAGTCTCTCATGTAGTTTAAAATTCCCAACATAACAAAAAAAAAGCAAAATGACTAAAGTGGCAAGACTTCTAGGACAAATGTAATTAAAGGTAAGAGTTACACAAATTAGTGCCGATGAGAAGTACCCTTTGATCACCACCGAGATGCAGATGGTCATTTATAAAGTTAGCCAACATTCAGTTTATAGAAAGCCTTTCTAGAAAACATCTACTGCATACTTTGATATCTAAACTACTCACTCATACACAAACTACTAAACTACTAAACTACTCATACACAAATATGCCCGTGACAATTTACCTGAACGACAGTTATAATGTCTAATAAATACCATCAGATAGTAATAATTTTCCACAAAATTTA